CCCCAAAACCCCAAAACCCCAAAACCCCAAAACCCCAAAACCCCAAAACCCCTCAATTTTCATGCAATGTTGAAACAAATTTAGAGGTTTACTTGAAGAAAAGAGCCTATTGAGGCAATAGGAATTAAAGCTTGGAATTGAGAGCAGCTAGATCTTCCTCTTCAACTGCCAGAGGAAGGTCAATTGAATATCCCCGCTTTGCGTGAACCAGACTATGATTTTGAATACCTCCCTTGCTCTGTTCTGAGACAGAAGAAACACTTCCATTGAGATAAGAGCTGTTCGTACACGAGGTGTTTCAAATATTTTCCTCAAGATCTTTAGCTTCATATACCCTTAAAATATCAGAAAGTCCATTACTAATCTTTACAATTCTTGACATTTTAAGTTTATTTGTCTGCTTTGGTACTCCTTTTCTCTTCTTAAGCTTTTTAGGGACTTCAAGAATGTTATGAGAAGGTTTGAAGTATCCATCGAGATCATTAAAGTTTTTCATAACATGAAAAAGTGATTTAGAATGCTTTTTCTTAGCCCTTTTCCTTCTCAAGCCAGGCTTATCTCCAGACTTGGTGTACCAAATCTGAGCAGGATTACTCCCTTTGTTATATATATTCTGAAACGGATGAGAGCCCTTAGGAACTGCATAGACTCTTGCGTTGTGGATATCGTCTTCCAATAACTTTGAATATTTAGTCAAATCTTGCTTTGAGAGAAGATGCTCACATGATTTCCAAAGAGTGGGCTGGAGTAAATTCCAATCGTTTTTGACCAGAACCAGAATCTCTTGCTTTTGAATGACTTTCTGGTCAATCTCCTCTTTCTTGGATACACATTTTAGAAGTTCTTCAATCGAAGGGATATCGTACATGCATTCATTGAATTTAGCAGCTCAGAGGAGGCAGCTCACAGCTGTTGGAATTGGAGAGCATTCAACCTCCTCTGAGAATTGTAGATAGAGTGTGAATGCTAAATGAATAGTACTTAATGAAAAATTCAATTGCTCTTTCACACCAGTATTTATTAAATCGAAGATTTCGATTTCTTTTTCATTTAAATTTTGAATTTGATATGAATCAGCCAATCCAAGCCTGTGTAGAAGGAGACTAGTATGGCTACTTTCGTCTTGAGTGGATCAACTGAACTGAGAGCCAATACTTTTCCCAGAAAATTGGCTCAGATTAATCGAAATTTCTTTTGAGATAATCATATTTCTCTTACAAATCTTGCTAGAACTTCTTTTAAACACTGCAGATGAATCTTTAGCGATGCCACCAGCGAGTCCAAGACTCTCATGATGATTATCCTTGTTAGTGAGATCTGTTGTCAAAAATTGTGCCATTTACGCGAATTTATACAAAATTAAAATTTATTCTGTTAAAAATTCGGAAATTTCAAACTTTCAACTTGCTTCGATGCATAAGGGGTTTTGGGGTTTTGGGGTTTTGGGGTTTTGGGG